TGCAGTCTTAGCAATTTTAATGAGGCTTATGCAGCACTATTTGGTGGTTGACTGTGTCAAACAATTTCAAGTAACTGTGATGGAAACCGATACATAGACTATGGAAATCTGTGTACTATAGTAACCTATACATGTACTATTAACATGCCCTATTACATCTAAATGCCTAAACCATTGTTAACTTTTGTCCCAATTATATCTTTGAGATCCTCCATTTATTTTCATGTTAAAAATATTTTTTGATTTTAAAAAAAACTTAGGCATGGATCCACCAAGTTTTCTTACTTGAATAATTCTGAGGTTTTTGGCGTATGAGGATGGATCATTGAGCTATTAACTGTATATTGTACATTCAAGAAAAAAGTTGAAGCTATCGTTATGGTTGTTGGCCTGGAACATTGTAAAGACATTAATGTGCTTCCTTTTGTATTCTGATACTTTGAATAAATATTAGAGTCCACTGAGTTTTTCATCTAATAACGATAGAAAGATAAATGTTTGGCCCTTTTGCTTTGCAAGCTGATCTCTGCTGAAATGCATGTAAGGTAACACTTGTTTCTATTTGATTTTAGACTTCGGCAACAATGTCAGGGAACTCAACCACCGCCAGTGTTTCCTCCTCCTCAAACAGTGGCCTTACAGGATGGGCAGCTTTTGCAGCAAAGACATCTTCTGCAGGCCCATCAACAGCTAAGATGGGGTCTGCCACCCAGAGCACCAGTGGCAAGCCTGTCACTGGCTCAAACAATCAGAAACCCACTGGTTTGTCAGGGCTGGCCACAACCAAAGGCGTTGGGTCAAAAATAACATCCGCCAATAGCACAAGCCCTAGCCAGTTGAAGCCACTACCACCTCTGACATTGGGGAAAATTGGTCTCTCTCGGTCTGTGAGCAGTGACAACGTAAGCAAAATAGGCCTTCCTAATGCAGGTAGTTCAACCCCAGGCAACAGCCCAACTCTTGGTGGAAATGGCAGCAGTGTGGCAGCAGGGAGCAGCGCTAGCAAATCAAGTTCAGAATCGGGCAACCAGTCCCCATCGCTGAAAGGTCCAACTTCACAAGAATCACAGCTCAATGCTATGAAGAGGTTACAGATGGTCAAAAAGAAAGCAGCTCAGAAGAAGCTAAAAAAATAGCAGGTCTATCTTTAAAACAAGAGATAATGCTGTCATTAGTTTTAATCTGCAAAGTGCCAGATACTGTAAAATCAATGATCTATCAATTACTGTTGTGTTTTCATTTGGCACCCTTGTGTGTACTCACGAGAATTCACAAGAATTCATATATTAGTAAAAAGTCCCATTGGCTGAAAAGCTGCCTTATTTGTATCTTTCTCATTAAATTAAAACTACAAAAATCCAGGTGACTACTAGAGTTTGTAGTCCAGGCACCATAGCTCTAATTAAATACAGTTATTAAATACAACTTAACAATCTTGATTCTTTTAAAATATATTTGATGCTTTACTCTTCTCCAAAACCATTATGAATGCTAAGAAATTTGTGTGTGTTAGGGGGGTGTTTGTCTACAATGGTGCTACATTAGCTGCATTTGCTATTTCCAGTAGAATAAACAAGGTTGTGTATTAGTCCCAATCCTACTCAGTCTGTTCTTCATTTGATGTTGTCACATGCTGTCCAGGGTCTGAAGGAGGGAGTGTATGTATATCAGGTTACCAATTGGAAAACTTCCTCTTTTGGCCTATGCCACTTGAATGCAAACCTATGCCGCCTGAGTGATTCTGTAGGGTCATTCAAGGAATCCTCTTCATTGATGACCGTACACTCCTTGTCCTGGGGCAGAAGGACAGTGATCCTGAACAAATTCTCAGATGCTGCTTTGGCCTGAGAAAGACTGAAATACTGATCAGCCTATGCCAAATCCCAAGACTATAGAACCACTGTTGATAATACTTAGTTGACAAATGTAAACAACTTCAAATATACTTTGCAAACATCATCTCAAGTGAAGGGTCTTTGAACAAAGAAATTGAAATCAGGATCATGTGTTCTATCAACACAGCATCCATTTCTCCAGAACGCTGAAAGTCTTCAGAGCTGTGGTCATCCCTTCTCTCCTAGGAGGATGAGTACTGGACTCTACTGAAGGAACAGCAAACAACAGCAGACATTTCACATGTGTGCTCCATCCTTGACATTTGCTGGCAAGACCATGTCCTATTTTGCAATTTATATCCAATCTTTTAAGTTACACTTCTTTCTGAAGAATATCTCACATATTGCTGTATATACAGTCTCCAAAATCTCTCTTCTCTTGTGCTCTATAGAAGTCAGGTAAACTGATGTTTTCAATCTATTTGAAATGTAAACTTTAGCCAATATCACCAACTGTAAATTCTAGAAATTTATTCAAAATTGCTTACCAACTCTTTGGTTGCGTGAAATAAAGTTTCACTGTACAATATTTTTAGTCACTTGCACAATTCAGGTACTTCTGGATGGCAGATCATGTTAATGATTTTATATGTAAAATATTTTGAAAGGAAGTGATTCTATTCATCATAAAAAAAGATTGGGCAAGGCAGGAGTACCCAATTTAGGGGCTACCTCACTAAGCTGCATCAATTGCAATGTCTAACAAAAAGCGGAATTAAAGCAACATTTACTTCTGGCTTTCTTTACTATTCATAGAAAGGCAGGAAACATTTAGAACTTTGGAGTGATGTTTATGGTAATAGAAAAATCAGTACTGAAGCATTTTAGTAGTCACCCAATTGCAAAGTTAAAAAAAAAGCTTATGTACCACACAAATAAGGTATAGATGTCTCTGTCTGGAAATAAGAGAAAGCAATAGAAAGATCAATTACGGAATATTTGTCACATTATATGAGGGGTGACTGAAAAAGTCTTATTGCTGATATCCCAGCAATGAAATATCTGAGACTGACATGAATGAATGCAAATATACATGTCTCAGGTCAATGTTGCAGGAGCCAATCTGGGTTGGTCATTGGGACCAGAGATTTACTCTTCCAAGTTTTCGGCCTCATGCTGGACATTGAGACTGATTCTAAAAACCGTTTGTAAACTTACAGGATTGATCCTAGAGACCATTTATAAAGAGTTCCTCAAACTCTACTGACATATACTTCACTAGTTCTTAATACATGGGAAACAGCATCAGATTTAGTGACTTGTATTTTTATTTTTAAATGATTTGGAAATCGCCTAGGAGGATATCATTTATCATGAATGAAGGCAAATACAGTATATGTGACTGTGCTGTCCCACTCACTCTCACACAAGTAACTAGTTTAATGAATTTATTATTTCCAAGCAATTCCCTTCATTAAAAACCCAGAACTGTCCCAATTAAGTCCAGCCACAAGCAGACCAATGCTAATCCATGGAGCAATGGCCAAAGAGTCCACAAGGCACTTGAAAGTTTCTCAAGCAAAGCCACCCAGCAAATTTAAATCCACAACACAAGGCAGGTCAGAAGGCAAGAAAAGTCCAGAGTTTTCAAGGCAAGATCCAAGTCAAGGCATGGTGTCAAACCAAAGTGAGTCAGGAATCACAATGACCAGAAAACACACACCTAGGAAACAAATGTTCCCAACATCGCCTCCATCTATCTGCTGTGCTAAATAGCCCACTTTCAGTGCAGTGCATCTGGCTGACCTCTGCTCCTGCCTTTTCTCTGCCCTATGTGTTTTTGGATCATGCGCAGAAGGCAGCTCCTCTTCCTCATCACTGACCAGCTGCAGCTGCTTGCCTTCCCCAACTGGAGCCTCAGGATTGTTCTGTTGCAGCTGTTATTCAGCCCAATCCATCACAGACAGCGGCTTGGAGCCATCAATCAACTTGGCTCCTGCCATGCCAGGAACTGTTTCATCCTCCCCCAAGCTGACATCTAGAGAGGTATCTAGGGAAGCATCTGGGGGAATCATCAGTGTCCCAGAGAATGTTGCAGGATCTAATCTGAGTCGGTCACCAGGACCGGAGGTTTTTTCTTCTGAGCTTTTGCACTTGTGCTGTACCCCAACCTCAGGGAGGTTCTCTGTGATAAGCTCAGAAAACAAAACCTCTGGTCCTGGTGACCAGCCCAGATTGGATCCTGGATATCATTTATGGGTATATTGTATTAATTCAGGAGTGCACACACATGGTTTGGGGCAATACAATATTGAATTAATTTAGACATCTGGTTTAAAGAAAATATTGAGATTTCATTCTAATGACTGTCTTGATCCGGTGCTCCAGAACTTTGGTTCCCGGGGCACCTAAGTTTGCTTCATCATCACCAACTTTATCCTGTTACTCGCTCTTGGGGAACATGTCCTCTGTGCCATTGCAGAGGAGGTAGACACAGTATAAATTTACAGATGCTTCATTGGAAGTGAGCACTGCTAAATATTGTGGGATTTATCCTTAAAATACAATTCTGAAACAAGAAATGGATCCCATTTCTTATAAACCATAATTCCTGATAAGTGTATACAGAATTGTATTTATCTCTCCATTGAGACTAACAGCTGTCACTTAAAATAAGTTTCAGGAGGCATTTTCAGCAGAGCTACAATTCTGAGATTACAGTTCTTAATCTGAGATTAAGAAATAATATTCTATTGAAAGGTCAGCAAAAAGTGCATTCGGTTCTTGAAATCTTTACAAACTTGGAACTAGAAATGTCTTGTGTAACCAAAAAGGCACTTCCATGTGCAACAAATCTCCAGTGAATTTTCTCAACATCTCTGTACTACTTCAGTTCCTTACACCTGAGTCTAAACTGTTTCTAAGAGTATTTACAAACCTGAGAACATTCTATGGACAATGCAGGTTGTTGCCCATTCCTGGTTAATTCACAAATCTACAAAAGTTAAACTTATAGCTGGCATAGTTGTGTTAGGCTTTCACAGCAAAGACCAACAAGACATTTTGTGACACCTAAAGGACCAACTAGATCAAGGGTCTTCAAACTTGGCAAGTTTAAGACGTGGGCTTCAACTCCCAGAATTCCTGATCTAACATGACTGGAAGACGAATTCTGGGAGTTGAAGTTCACAAGTCTTAAAGCTGTCAAGTTTGAAGACCCCTGAACTAGATTATTATGTCATGAGATTTTTGTTGTTATAGGTGATTTAGCTCAGCGATCCCCAACCTTTGCAGTTTGCCAGCCCAGCTGGGAGGTGACAGCCCACATAAACAGTGGGCTAACATGCACACACAGCTCAACTTGCATGAGCGACAGGCCAGCACGCAAGTGCAGACACACACTCTACTTGCACAATCAAGCGCTCGCATGGCCCGGTTCCAAATAGACCACGGCCTGGGGTTTGGGGACCCCTGGATGAGTTCAATATAATTAAATGCCTCAGAAATCTGTGGAAGGCATTACGAGAGTTCTTTTCCAGTCCAGTGTGACAAAGGTTTAAAAGTAAAGGCAAATATACCTATTCCATCAAAAATTCTTCTTCACAAGTACTTCAATTCCGGATTTTAGAAGCTCTTAGCTTATTGCATTTTTTAAGGCACAAAAATTCACGGGTGATAATATCACAATAAAAGTCTTCTGGCTCTGAGAATTTATTCCGTAAGCTAAATCTGATATTTACGTGTATGTCATCTTCCCAAGATAATTAGCTGGCACATATCCTTTTTGTCCTTCAGCTTCAGCTAACCACCATTCTTTATTGCCACTTAGGTCCGAAAAACGAAGGATTTGAACTCGCTGATATTCGTGAAGACTGAGTTCCTGCTTACTCCTTGCTTGAAATGCATGAACGGCATAGAAAGTCTAAGAGATAGGAAACATAAAAGAGAGAGAGAGAGAGAGAGAGAGAATGAATGTTCAATCCTGCTCCCTATTTCAGTGAAAAACGGGGGGAAAAGCACCCAACCAAATCAACTCAGCTAATCAAGCAACATCCGACTATGCTTGTTTCGTTAAAAAAAACTTGGGTCAGATTTGGAATAATGTATTTGAGTAATGTCACTAATATTAGTCCCAAATCCCTACACTTACAAACTCTATACTTATTTCTCAATGAGGTAAGCATGAAACAGTGGTGGGATTCAAATTGTTTTACCGCCGGTTCGGTGGGCGTGGCTTGGTGGGCGTGGCTTGGTGGGGCCTAAGTTGGCGCACAGCTTTCCCCACACCAGCAGCACCAATCAGCTGAGAGGATAAAGAAGAGAAAAGTGCAGGAGCAGGTGGAAAGGGCAGATCGCGCTTTTCTCTTCTTCTTCCTCTCAGCCGATTGTCCCAGGATTTTTTAACTCCTCTCAGCTGATCGTCGGGTTTTTTTTTACTACCAGTTCGGCAGAACCGGTCTGAACCGGTCTGTAGCATACTACCACTGGTATGAAGTTCGGCAGAACCGGTCTGAACCGGTCTGTAGCATACTACCACTGGTATGAAGCCATGAAATAGTGGCATATTAAAGTTACCTCCTGGGTCTTTGAATACTTGTCTTGATAAACACTGAGCACCATGTAATATGATGTGCTCTGACTTAAAATAATCTAGCAGCAGTACAGCTCTAGATTTGGGGGAAAAACAAGACCTAGACCACATGTTTTAAGTAGGGCTACTTATTTACCTTTGTCATAACTGATCATTTGCACATCTTCCTTCTCTGAGACCAGACAATACAAAAATAGAGTTGGCTAGATTAGTAGATGCTGTAATTCATTTCTCTGGAGAAGAAAAATGAATAGGCAGCTACAGTTAGAAAGCGGTGACCAGCAACCAACTCAGCCCTGAATTCATCCCCTCTCCTTTTTTTTTTTTATAAAAGGACTGGTCATGAAACCATGCTTACGTGTTGCTCATCTGTTTCACAAAAGCTGTCCAATTCTGAGCCATTCACAGATTCTTTTTCACACAGGCTATTATAGGAAGAGTCACTGCCACTTCTTTTGTGTCCTGTGGGTTTTGTACTGTTGTCCTCCAGTTGTCGTGAAGAGATAAAAAGGCTGATATTATCAAAGTCACCATCACAGAAATGGATTTCCCCAGGATTTTTTGGTGCCTTGGCTGGTTTATAGGGTTTCAGGAAGGAAGAATAAACGTATCCTTTAAGAACTATATGTAGGGAAGGGGAGGAAAAAAGGCCAAGAGTATCAAAAGGTTGGTTTTTTTATTTTATTGTAAGAACCTTAAACTATTGCAAGTTAAAAGAGAAAAACAGAGAGACATTGCAATCTGAAAACCCAGTGAAAGTTGGAGGAGTCGTGAAAATGCTCCAGATTGCAAACTATACAATCTAATTAACATTATACTATCAATTGTGTTTTGTTTTGTTCCGTTTTGGCAAGTCCTTATCCCATATCAGTATTCAGATAACCTAGGCTTAGTACTTGTGATGCAAACTCTGACATGTTCACTAGACTGGTTAGAATACTTTTCCCAAGTTCTACAAGGCGCTGCCATAGAGTTGGAGAGAAGGATGGGCAAGAACCAGTCATAAATGCTGCATCAGTTTCTATGGATTGCCTTCTGGTTAAGTCATTTCACATATCTCTCAAGTCAGTGACTTCCAGGAAGTAGACGTTCATGAATCTTAAAGTTGCAGGAGATGAGAAATATGGCTCTAGAGCAGGGGTGTCAAACTCGATTGCATTGAGGGCCACATTAGGGTTGTGTTTGACCTAGGGGTGCCAGGGTGGGCATGGCCAAGATGCAGTTGCTCATGTCAGGGGGAGGTACCTGTGATGGTTCAAGTGCTCTGCCAGGGAAAACAGGATCCTGAGCTTTGTTTTCAGCTGTGACGGCCTCCTGCAACTCTCTGCCAGCAAAGACAGAGCTCGGAGGGAGGGGCAAACACAGCCCTTGCAAGCTCCATTTTTGGATGGCAGAGGTACCACAGGCTGGTCCTTTGCAGTTTCCAAGGCGGCCCCCTGGGCCAAACCTAAGTACCCCGTGGGACGGATCCAGCCTCCAGGCCTTGAGTTTGACACCTCTATTCTAGAGAGCTGAATACTTTGAAAAATTCCAAATGCATGTTGAACTGGATTCAGAAGGATTGGAAGATAGTTAAGATGATTTAAATACCTTATTTTGTTTTAATGTATTTAATTGTTAGCCATTCACTTTCACTGGACAGATGGATAGCCCAGACAAACAAGATTATTATTTAAGTCAAAAACCCATAGCCATTTAGGAATATTAATATAGAAATGAAAATAATAAGACTTGAAACAGTGATTAAATGCAAGTGTCCATTAACCCCAGGACACTTCCTATAAGCCAGTGGTGGCTAACCTTTTTGGGCTCCCATGCCAATAATTGCGCACGTGCTTGCATGCTTGTGGTTGCATGCCATCACCCAGAAGACAATGCGTGCGGGTGCCCCATACCTCCTGCGCATGCATGCGCTATCCACGCAACCCACGCTGTGTGCTTCTCTGCATGCATATGCAACCCGCGCAACCCACACTGCATGCTTCTGTGCATAAGTGCGTGACTCCCCTATGCGAGCCATGTGCTTCTACACACGTGCAAGTGTCTCCTGCTCACTGCTGCACCCCTGCACATGCATGCCAGATACCCGACAATCAGCTGGCGGGTGGGCAACATGCACCCATGCGCAGTAGACCTTTTCTGGGCGAGTGCTCACTGCCAGCAGCAATGGCTCTGTGTGCCACTTCTGGCACACGTGCCATAGGTTCGCTATCACAACTATAAGCTATAAAATTCATCTAAAGCCAAGAAGGCAATGTTAAAGGTCAAGTCTCTGCAACTAGGGTACATCTAGGCTCAGGGTCAGGGGTGGGATCCGACAGGATTAACTACCGGTTCGGTGATTTATGAGGTTCAGTGATTTACGAGGTTTGGTGATTTACGATGTGCTACCTTGCACGCTATGCGGGCGTGCCTGTAAATTGTCATCAGCACGCTGCGTGCAGAGAAGCAGCTTTTCAAAAAGCACTTTTTTCCTGCTTTTTAAACTGCAGCTGTGCCTCGCACAGCAGCTGAAGTTGAAAAAGCAGGAAATAAAGGTCAGGTAAGAGTCCGGGCAGGTGGGTGGGCAAAAACATCAGCAGACATAGAACCAGTTCTATGTCTGCTGCTCTTCAGAGCTACCAGTTCTACAGAGGTGGACAGAACCGGTAGAAACCCACCCCTGCTGAGAGTACAATGTGAAGTACTTACTTCCAGTATCAACAAGCCACCTGCTTGTACAGCCAAAAGGATCCTTTTGGTCTATGAGAGCCACCACCTCTCCTTCATAAAGATCAATATCCAACTCCTGTGTGGCATTGCATTTACGCTTGGCTTCGTATAGCAAGTCCACATTGTACATAGAAAGTAGCATCAACCGGTGGACTTCTTTCTGGCGGGGAAATTCAGGCTGGAAACAAAAAGCTGATTGAAAGAACTAATATACCATGGAACAGCATGCTCACTGTTAATTGCAATTTTCTACATAATGTGATTTCAGTCCTGGCCTGGTTTAAAATAAGAAAAGGCTTATTTAGCTTTGATCAATTAGCCAAAGCCAAACTCATGTTCAAAATCACATTATGGTTTAGTCCAATGAATGAATCCAGTCTTATTATTCACATACTTGTGCTGGTTCATATTTTTGAAGCTATAAAATTAATCTTCTACAAAGCATATTACACTTGCCTGCTTCTCTCTTTTTAATACATTCATTCAGTGAATTAATATAAGGCATTTGAACTTATCCCTATCCTAAAGCAGGGGTCCCCAAACTTGGCAACTTTAAGACTTGTGGGCTTCAACTCCCAGAATTC